CCCCCCTCCGCAATGCAGAATAGTGTCCAGTCCAGTCGACCCGACGAGGAGGCGCCCAAAACACAAAAATAAGCGCTCGCGGCGCTGGCGAGGCAATCGTCCCAGGGCTCAGCGCGGTGCGGCATCAAATATCCACAACGCAGCGCTCATGGCTGTATCGTATCGGGGCCCGGCTCGGCTGGGCTCGGCGGTGTCATCGGCGTCAGTCATGACGGCGTCCTCGCGTCGAGGCGGCAGTCCCCTCCGCGGCCGGCCACGCCGCGAGGCACGACACCCCCAACCCCAGCGGAGATGACGACGAGGGTCATGATGGCCGGGACGAGGTCAACGCCGAGGTCACCGCCCTTTCCTCCGCGTCGGGATTGCCACCGTTACAAAAATAAATAAGAAAATGGCTTTATCAGCTCGTCGCCTGTAAATCTAATTTGAGCATCCTCAGGAAAACGGCAGTATTTTTTTTTATTTTTTTTTATTTTTTCACCCCCATTTCTTGTGACTGGAAGAGGTCGGGGGAGGACAGAGAGAGATAGAGAGAGATAGAGAGAGATAGAGAGAGATAGAGAGAGACAGAGAGAGACAGAGAGAGACAGAGAGAGAGAGAAGGGCGCGCGGGACTGCACGGAACCAGGACGCGGCACTTTCGAGCCCCGCGCCGGGCCCCGGAGGGGGCTCCCCCTTCCCTCCGCGATGAGATGCCCCGTCACGTTTTCCGATGCGGCGCGGCGGCTCCGCGTGCCACCCGCCCCGCCCCGCCCCGCCACCTCGACTGGCCGCCCCACACCGGGGCCCGCGCTCGCCATGTCTGCGGGATCCAGATGTCGACGGCGCGGGGCGGGGGATTGGGATTGGGACCCGGGCTGGTCTGGGGAGGTCACTGCGATGTGGCCGCGGTCAGCGGCGGAACCGTGGCGTGGCGGTACGGGGGCGCATGTGGAAGCCAAATCTGCCCCGTGGAGAAAGGACCCCCCCCCCCTCTCCCTCTCTCGCACACACCCCCTGGGGACAGATGAGTCCCCACGAGTGCGAAAAGGGCGGATGTCCTATAAGCTGCTTGCTCGGTCTGGTGAGCCGCCGCGGTGGACCCCAGCCAATCACAACCAGGAGCGGATACAGAGACACGGAAAACGGGACGGGGAGGGGAGGGGGCGAGTCCTGTCGGTCCTGCCCGGTCCTGCCCATCGGGAACTTCAAGAAAACACCCCTGGCGAGTGGGGGCAGCCCGGCGTGCGACAATCGCCCCCCCCCTCTCCCCCCAATCCCTCTTTCCCCCAGACGGGTGTGAATTGACCGGTGACGGGCGTTAATTGGCAACCCCGCCAGACAGAGACCGGCAGAGAAGTGCAATGCTGTGTCTAACTCTAGGACTCTAGCGAGCGAGTGCCCCCCC